GCCGCTGTGCTTAGTCCTGGGCCTCCCAGTGTGGGGGGGTGTCAGTAGATCTGCACTGTGGATGCCCGATTGATCCAGGAGAGGGTTACAGGCGCGTTCGCCTGGGGGGTTATGGGCGCACTGACCTGCTACTTAAACAAGCCCTTCTATCCCAATGGTCTAGTGACTGGGATTCTGACATGGTGTCAGAGTGGTCTCGGGTTCGAATCCCGGTGTATGCACATGTAGGCCGTTGCCGTTGTGCTCAGTCCTGGGCCTCCCACTGTGGGGGGGTGTCAGTAGATCTGCACTGTGGATGCCCGATCGATCCTACGGGGGGTTACAGGCGTGTTTGCCTGGGGGGTTATGGGCGCACTCTGACCCGCTACTTAACAAGCCCTTTTATCCTAATGGTCTAGTGGTTGGGATTCTGACAGGAGATGCGGTACCCGACGCACGCCAAACGGGTGACCTGGGCGATGGATAGCGCGGTGTGGATCCTGTCGAAAGTCACCCACATATTTCAACGGTCTGCGGCACAGATCCTCGCGGACAAGAACTTGGACCTCGACACCATCGTACAGCTTGGTCAATGGGACATGAACGAGATGCGCAGGTCATACGTCACAGGCATCCCGCGCCCGGCCATCCAGATGCAAGCCGGTTTCTCGGAGGAACCGGGCGACTATTAGATCGGAAGATCGAAGACCCAAGTGCCTCCGAAGGTCCAGAAGGCTATTGAGGAGCACATATTTCCTAACGCGGAGCAGTGGCTCATTGAGGTATGGATGTGAAGATAAGAACGAGAATGAAGAATAGAGGAGGGGTTTCACTAGCAGCAATGAGGATACATATAGCAAACCCTAGATGGGTTGTACTCGCTATAGAGCACCCCACTACAGGCTAGAGAATAACATTCTGACACACCCCCATAGCCAAAGTGGGGTGTAATTAGCACAATGAGCAAGCAAGCATAGAGCAGGAGTTCACAATAGCAAGCAAAGCTAGAGTCATTCACAAAGGGCAAGTGAGGAGGAGGAGGCGAGACTGTAAGAGGAGAGGAGATAGGAGGCGACGTCTGAAGCTGCAGACACACGCGCAACAGGAGTCACATTGGCACAGCTACTACCGGAACAACGCTCCGGACTACTGAAGTAACTGGCTCCGCAGCTAAAACTAGCAGCAGACGAGCAACGGACCCACGAACGACTGGCACAGCTGGCTACGACTGGGCTACCGGAGCAACGCCCCGGACTACTGGTGCTGCTGACGACACGACGACAACCTCCGTTCAACCAACCTCCTCCAGTTGCCCCACACCTCTCGACACACACCCCCTGCTCAAACCCTAACTCCATTCCCATAGCACCCCCCTTACACCCCAAACCGCAGGCTCACACACATCCACCTCCCTCAAACCCTAGCTCCACTCCCACAACACCCCCCTTAAACCCTAAACCCCAGGCTCCCACACATCCACCCCCCTCAGCGACAGCTGCAGCAGTGGGAGACAAAGGAGGAGGAGGAGCAGGGGAGACCACACACCCGTCACCCCCTACTTGCCACCCCCAAACCCTAACACAGGGCAGGGCGGGATGGCGGGTAGGGAGGTTACGGGGGGGGGAGGGGGGGGGGGGGGCGACGCGCGGCCTCCCCGGGCGCCAAAGCAAGCGACAGAAGGGGCGACGCTCGCCCCCCCCCCCTAGGTTGGCGGCCCCTGAAGGAGCCGCGACGGGCGACGGGAAAAGGGGGGGGGCGGTGCATGTGCCCCCGGTGCGCCGCGGCTGGCGGCCGGGCATGGCCGGGGCTGGGCCGGGGCCGCTGGAGGCGGCGACGGGGCCGCTGGTGGCGACGACGGGGCCGCGGAAGGGCGGCGACGGGGCCGCTGAAGGGCGGCGACGGGGCCGCTGAAGGGCGGCGACGGGGCCGTAGTAAGGGGCGGCGACGGGGCCGCGGAAAGGGCGGTGACGGGGCCGCGGAAGTGGCGGCGACGGGGCCGCGAAAGGCCGCGAGGGGCCTGGAAGGGCGGTGACGGGCTGCGAAAGGGGCGGCGACGGGGCCGCGAAGGGGCCGCGAGGGGCCTGGAAGGGAGGCAATGGGGCACGCTAAGAGTAGGGCGAGGGGCACGCCACGGGGCGTGCCGAACACAGAGTAGCAGCGGAAGCAGTTTGGTGGGCCCACAGGCCAGGACCGTAGATGCTCTGATATGATGTGAAGATTAGAACGAGAATGAAGAATAGAGGAGGGGTTTCACTAGCAGCAATGAGGATACATATAGCAAGCCCTAGATGGGTCGTACTCGCTATAGAGCACCCCACTACAGGCTAGAGAATAACTTTCTGACAATGGATCTCTCGAGCAATTGGCGTCATCGTTGAACGCAAGATTTGCTAGTACATCAATCTGTCAGTGTCCATGCGTTACTTTATTTACAGGCCCAGAAGTGGAACAACGAGCAGGACAAGGAACACATGTACTACACAGCAAATAGTTTCTTGGAGGCCCTGCTAGCAGACCGAATGCGCATCGGAGAGGATCTTGCGGTGTATTACGTTCATTGTGACGACCACCCTTTCGACGGTGTGAGCGTTTGCGATTGCGAGCGTCACCCTTACGCCCAGATATCGGGGTTGTGCAAGGACGAAGATTTTCAAAAATTGGCGCTCGACGTGTACTTGCTCGACAAGTACGGCATTAACATGCTGACCAACCGAACGATGTCGAGAGCGACGGTAAGTTGGCCCTGGCACAACTATAAGCGATGACTTGTCATCACTCCACTGATTGCACGTGTCCTTGTGTGCAGGACATCTCCTCTCAACTCAACACCAAGCACCTCATCGCGCAACTTTGGGCCGAGATCAACTTCCACAAAGAGGAGGGAGGGAAAAAAGATATCAAGATCAACCACCTCGAGCATCAGGTCGAGTCATTGGAGCGAGAGAACCGCTCGATGAAGTCAGAGTTGGAGGCCAAGACAAAGGCGTTCGCGCAACTGCAGAAAGCGTTCGACGCACCGAGAAAGACCGCGGCGACAAGCGCAGCTGCAGATGTGGGGGAGAGCGAGAGCGTGCCACAGACGGCCACTGAAGAAGCCATCCCCGGTCCACATCAAGCCCAACAAGAAATGCCCTCTCGACAGAGCGTGGGCAATCAGCTCGACCAGGCATTCTTCGACGCGGTGGTGTGGCCGTGGTGCAATTGCAATACCGTGCGGAAGGCGTGGTCGTACTAGGACGGGCCAAGCCCACTGAACAACGAGCACAGTCTTCGACAGGCGTACAAGAGGGGCTTCGCCGTCAAGTTCTGCAAGTTCACACCGACTCCACCCCCCGCACCCCCCGAAGAGGAGGCCCATCCAAAAGACAAGCCCCCAACCGCAAAAGCTATCGAGACGAAATTGCGGAAAATGGAGGCTGTCATAAAGGTCGTCGAGCATTTCCGGATCGACGACAACAGCGCGGCTACGACGTCGATCATACAAAAGCTGGACTCAATTGTGAAGAATCACTCGATCAACATGCTTTCGGAGGGCATTGTTCTCGACGAGGACAGTGGGAGGCAGCTCACGAAAAAGCGCAAAGTCGGGTCTGCAGAGGAAAACGAGAAGGACAAACAACGCCTCAGAATCACTCTGGAGCTCATTCGCGTCCAGCTCGGAACCACAGAATGGGCGGAGACGGTGTTCGGCAAGGAGAAATGGAAAGAGTTCACGAGAACAACCGGCGCGCGGCCTAGTTCGACGGGCAACCTTGAGGAGGGGGAAACCTAGTGTAGACTTGTATGCTCCCATGATATGCTACGTGAGACCATGTCGAGCATTCCACCTTGTTTAGCTCAAATAAAAAACACGGTCGAACATGTAATACACTAGGGTTGAAAGTAATGGGAAGAAAACATATGTCGAATAAACCATGTACTGAATTGCGAAGACATCTGTCGAATCATGCAGCAACCCAGTTTAACACAACTATAGTTCACTGTCGAGCAGGTTTAGGGTCGATGAAAATCAGATATTTCTCGATCAGGTTTAGGGTCGAAACAAAGAAAAGCAACGAGTTGCGGAGCAGGTTTAGGGTAAAAAACAAAGAAAACCTTAGCATTTCTCAAATCGACCATATTTCAAACTAAGAACACATCTGTCGAATCTTGCAACAACACCCAAGCAAAGCGCTCGGCTACACTACTCCCATGTCCCCTCCTCGGTAGCATCCTCCTCGCCCTGCTTTGCCTTGCTCTTTTCTTCAGGCATAGCCAGGCTCCCATAGCCCGCGTCTTTTAGCAAATGGGCAGCAAAGCGACAGCAGCACCATTGCGTATACACCTTTGCTGCCACGCGCACCATCTGCAACAGGACGGCGTCGGTCGAGCCTAGGCCTTGGACAGCCGTCGAATATAGCAGATCGGGCCACTGCTTGGCTGGGACCGTCTTGCCCACGTGCAAAATAACGGAGACGAGCATGGCCATGGCAGCGACCTTAGCCCGTTTCGCCGTCTCCGGGGCGAAGAGCGCTGCGTTTGCGGCAGCTAGGGCATCCTTCTGAATATCATCCTTGGACAGTTTCCTGCAAGCCGCCCACAAGCTTGCCACAGTTGCTGCAACGGACATCATGTGCGCCGTCTCGTTCATGTTTTTCAGGACCGGATAAATCAGGTTCCCGTGCTTCATGCCAAGCGTCGCCACCTTCCTTATCGCCGCGCAGAGCGCGATTCCCTAGTCGTTTCCGGCTCTCACTTCCTGATTTGCCGTCGCCAACAGCGACTGGAAACTGCACTTCGAAACAAATGCGTTAGTTTGACGGCCGGAATTCGACGGTAAGTACGACATCACTTCGACGGAAAGAACAAAACCGCTTACGACAGACGGACAACAGGACCTCGACACAACTCACTCTTCGAAGCGACATTCCCCTTGTTCTTGCGCCACGCTCCAAACGCCGGTGGCCATACCAGCGGCTGCATCGAGATAGACCTTCCACTGCTTCTCATCCTCCGCCGTGAACTTATTGTACTTCTGAAGGTCAATGTCGGGGAAGCACCTTCGGCTTCTTTGCCTTCTCGTGTCGAGCAGCAACGATGGTAAACGCCGTCTGGACAGGAGCTTGGCCAAGGAGGCTGCCCATCTCCACCAAGTCACCGCTCTCTGCAGCTTGCTTCGACGACTTCGTCACAGCCTGCCTTTTCTTCGACGCAGGAGCAGGACCAAGAGGAGGGGAATGCGGTTCGCTAAGGCGGACGGTGCCTAGGACGGGAGCAGCGACATGAGCCGCGGGAAGGGCAGAGGAAAATGCCCTCTTTCCCACTGGCTTGTCAGGACGACCAGGAACACCGACCTGAGCAGCAGTGTCGGCCGTTGTCTTCGACAGCAACCCACCAGCGACGACAACCTGGCTGGGAGCACCACCCTCCTTCGCTCCTTTCTCGGCTGAGGCGACGGACTCGATAGGGCCGCCACTTTTTTCCCCCGCAACCAATCCTTTCTCACCCTTTTTCCCAAGGCCCGAAAGCATGTCCTGCACCGGAGCAAAAGCATCAGGCGGAGGCTTCGCTGCTGCTTCAGAGGTCTTCTGAAGGGGCGACTGATCGAGTACAATGACCTCGTTGGCCTCGACGGACTTGCCGACGGGATGACGAGCACGACGGTAGGGATGGTATCGGGCTGCGGACATGTCCTCCTACCGAAGGAGGAATCGACCGCTCCTGAACTCGACGCTCACCCCCGCTGCGAACACCAGCCACCCCCTCCTCCTGACGCGACCTCGTCGACGGGCCCGCCGAGCCCCGAAACCCTCTCGCCATTGCTTTGGTGAGGACTTCCAATCTGCCAGCTTCAGCTTCTTTGTAGCCTTCTTTCACAACGTCCTTCATCACCTTCATGCTCTCGGGCGGGATAGCGGAGTAGAACAAGTCCTCCTGGACGGCTTTCTCAATACCCTGCACGACCGAAGCAACCATTTGCTCCTCGACAAGCTTGAGCTGCTTCTCGACGGCGTCCTCGCTCGCTTTTGCGATAGCGGTTGCCACCCCATCGATGATTTTCCCGCTCATCTCGTCGAGCTTCATGCGCGCCCCTTCCAACAGTTTCCTCTCCTCCATAACACCGTTGACGGCGTCGTCGCACTGCTTCAGCGTGCTCTTCGACGCCTCCGAAATCGTATTCCAGGCCGTCCGAAAATCCGCAGCCAGCTTATTGTAAACAGATGCTTGCTCACTGTGCTTCGCAAATACGTCAGCGGTGAGCTTCTTCTGCGAAGCCTCAAGCTCCGGATGTAGCTGCCGATTGGCCTGCCGTCAAAGGGAGCCCGGTCGAAGGGCCCGCCTGTCCACTGCCACTGGCCGTGCGGTGCCTACTTCTTACTGCGACCTGTCCTGGACGACACTCCTGCGCAACCACCACGCCCTCCTGCTGCTGCCCTCCGACCCCACCCGCCTGCCCAGTCGCCCCGCCCTCCTGCTGCTGCACTCCTGCCCCACCCTCCTGCGCAGCCGCCCCGCCCTCCTGCACCTGCATTCCTGCCCCACCCTACTGCGGAGCCGCTCCGCCCTCCTGGTCCTCGACAGCCCCATCGTCCCCCGTCGCCTGCTGCTCGATATTTACTTCCTCGTCCACCCGCTTCCCGAGCGCCACTCCGTGCTCCTCCGTATGCTCCGTCCCACCTGGATGTTCTCCTGTGCCCTCGGCGTCGTGCTCGTCCGACTCATTGCTCGAGCTCGAGCCGGAACTCGATTCCGAGCTCGAGCCCTCGAGCTCGTTCGCATGGCCGCCAGGGCCGCTCACCGTGCTGAGCTTTCCTCGATGTATCCTCCTCGATCTCCTCCTCCTCGTAGGTGTACTCAACCACGACGCGTGGCCCCCCCTTGCCTCCTCCCTCATGTTCGGCACCCCCTCCCACTCCTACTCCCTCCGCCACCACTTTCATCCTGTCCCAAAACAGTTTGGCCATGAACGATGGAAGCATACCCGGGCCAGGGCTCGTTCTCCCGAACATCATGAGCTCGCCCTGTCGAGGCTGCAGGAGAATTCGTCCCACTTCGACAGAATCCGACGCACCCCATACACGGCACGTGCTGCCTCGCTGAGTTCACTGGGGCCCGTCAGGGGCGTCGTCGTCTGCGACGGGTATAAAACTCACGTAAGCGACAGCTTAACTTGCACGACGAAAACATGTACGAGTAAGGGTAAGTGTTGGCTTACCAGATGATCGAAACTCGTGATCATTTCCAGGCGCATATCGATGAGGCTAAGCGCCCCCTGCTCGTGCTCGGTCACGACCCGCTGGGTCGTCGCGTACTTGGCGCGAAGCTGCCGCTACATCCAACTGCAAAGCAACGGACAGGAGAGTAAGAGATTGTCGAGGATGGCAGGTCGACAGCAGGGTGTCAAATCAGTCACTCACACGAACACTTCCTGCGCGAGCGAAGATTGGTGGTTCACCGCGGGAAACCTGTCCTTTGAATCGAAGTGCATCATCCGAGTTCAACACCCATGGTGCCTCGGAGCCAGCAGATCGTCGGGGCGCGATACCACAAACAGGCTTGAGTGGGAGAACGGCGCCACACTCACGCTGCATGCAGAATGAATGCACGTGAGCACGAGTTTAGGACTAAACACGGAGCATGCAAGGCGACGGGATAGTGTCGAACTCACGTGGTTCGCAGGAGAACGAGAACCACTTGCTTGCCGAGCAGGTCGTCGAGGTGGTTGCTCGCAAAAGCGATCTGTGCGGGACGCGCCATCTCTTCATGCAGACGCGTCGAAGTCACGATTGACAGCTTGGAGCTCTGCTCGACAGAAAGCAGCTCCCTTGAAAAGAGGCTGAAAAGAAAAGTCAGAGTCAGAGATAGGTAAACATGGCAAACAAAAAATGCTCGACAGGACACGTACACAACGCCCGCATTTATCATCATCTCATCGAGCTTCGCCTTCGGCGCCTCGCTTAGCGCAATCAATTGGTCTTCGAACACCTCCACCTCGACCCCGCCTGTGGTCACGATGAGGCCGTGTCGAACCGTCGGCTCAGTCGCGACGGGTAGGGAGGCGGGGCCCGTATCCATGGCAGGCCTAGCAGTAGGGAGGGCGGGAGCGCAGGGAAGTTGGGAACTAGGGAGTAGGGAAGAAAAACTCGGAGAATGGAACAAAATGAGAACGCCGTCTGGGTATTAGCTGTTTGCCATCCCCCTCCACCGAGACAGACTCGAGTGCAAGGGCGACGAGGCAGGGCGCGTTCCGCGACGGCGGGAGGAGGAGCTTTTCGGAGAGGACGGCGGGGCCATATTGGCCTCGACCTGAATTGTGGTGGTTGGTTGCATGAGGGGGCGTTCGACACGTCAGCAGGGTCGAGCGCCCAAAGAAACGGGCCCGTCGAGGGCCAGAGCAGTAGAGTGCGGCGCAGATGGGCGTCGCCTCCGTCCGCTCGCGAAAATTCGCGGACGGGTTCCGTCATCGAAGCGATGCCCGGCGACGGTTCCGTGGGTTACCGGACGGAACCCGTCTACGAACCAAGGGTGGGGTTGGGTTCGGTCGGGGGGGACCACTGCCAGCTCAAGGGCGCGGGTTGCTGGCGTCACACGCAGCTGGCGCCAGCTAGAGGTGCCCGTTTTCGGGTGGGAGAGGGGGGGGGGGGGGGGGGGGGGGTGGCTCCCGCCCCTCGCGTGCTCCGCTACGCGACTGCAGGAAAACGAAAATCCCTCCGAGGAAAACCCGCAGGGGCAAACGGGATTTTGCGGAGGGATGTGACTGATATCTTCCCATACACAAAAGGAACGACTCGATGTAATAGGGTTATTAGGTCACCAACTCGTGTTACAAATACTGTCCTTCATAGCATTCTCGCCACACATTGCTTGCACGTAAATGTTGGTCTCCTCGGTGATCAAGCAAACCCGCCAACCACACCATACGCTGCCTATTCAGCGCGCTCGCAATCAAGTTACAATAAAACACTAGTGTACAACATTTAGGAGAGCAGTGAAATCTATATCATTACAGAACATAAAAGAAAAGGATAACAAAAAACAAAACTTGGATAATATGCATGTTCAACATCATGATTTCATGTAACATATTTCATTCCCAGATTAGGGAATTGCTGTGAAGAATGAGGAATGAAGAAGAGAGGAGTGCACTAGCAGTAGTTGGGATACATATAGGAAACCCTAATTGGGTTGTACTCGCTATAGAGTACCCCACTGCAGGCTAGACAATTATAACATTCTGACACACCCCCATAGCCAAAGTGGGGTGTAATGAGCACAATGAGCAAGCAGGCATAGAGCAGGAGTTCACAATAGCGAGCAAAGCAAGAGTTAATCACAGCGGGCAAGTGAGGAGGAGGAGGAACTGTGGAAGGAGAGAAGATGGGAGGCAACGACTGAAGCTGCAGAGGCACGGGCACAGGAGCGGCTGACTCAGTGGCTACCGAATCAAGGGCGACGGACTACTGGAGTAACTGGCTCCGCGGCTATAGACGAGCGGCAGGAGCAACGGACCCACTGGTGACTGGTGCAACGGGCTCCCTGGCTACCGAAGCAAGGGCGACAGACTACAGGCGCTGCAATCGACACGACAGCTACCTTCACACAACCTCCTCCAACTGCCCCACACCCCTCGACACACACCCCCTGCTCAAACCCTAGTTCCACTCCCACAGCACCCCCCTTTCACACACCCCTTGCTGCACCCTAGGTTCACTCACACCCCACCCCCTAGCACCACTCCGTCGACTCCCACACACCCACCCCCCTCAGCGGCAGCTGCAGCAGTGGGAGACAGAGGAGGAGGAGGAGCAGGGGAGACCACACACCCGCCACCCCCTACTCGCCACCCCCAGACCCGAACACAGGGCAGGGCGGGACGGCGGGTAGGGAGGTTACGGGGGGGGGGGAGGGAGGGGGGGCCGACGTGCGGCCTCCCAGGGCGCCAAAGCAGGCGGCAGAAGGGGCGACGCTCGCCTCCCCCCCCTAGGTCGCCCCGGTCCCCTAGGGAGCCGCGACAAGCGACTAGAAAAGGGGTGGGGGCGGTGCACGTGCCCTCGGTGCGCCGCGACAGGCGACGGAGCATGGCCGGGGCGGGGCCGGGGCAGGGTCGAGGCAGGGCCGAAAGGGGCGGCGACGGAGCCGCAAGGGGCGGCGACGGGGCCGCTGGAAGCGGCGACGGGGCCGATAGGGGCGGCGACGGGGCCGCAAAGGGGCCGCGAGGGGCCTGGAAGGGCGGCGACGGGCCGCTAGGGGCGGCGACACGGCCGCGAAGGGGCGGCGACGGGGCCGCTGGAGGCGGCGACGGGGCCGATAGGGGTGGCGACGGGGCCGTGAAGGGGCCGCGAGGGGCCTGGAAGGGCGGCGACGGGCCGCTAGGGGCAGCGACGAGGCCGCGAAGGGGCGGCGACGAGGCCGCTGGAGGCGGCGACGGGGCCGATAGGGGCGGCGACGGGGCCGCGAAGGGGCCGCAAGGGGCCTGCAAGGGCGGCGACGGGCCGCTAGGAGCGGTGACGGGGCCGCAAAGGGGCGGCGACAGGGCTGCAAAGGGGCCGCGAGGGGCCGAGAAGGGCGGCGACGGGGCCGCAAGGGGTGGCGACGGGGCCGCTAAGGGTCGCGCGAGAGGCACACCACGGGGCGTGCAGCACACAGAGTAGCAAAGGAAGCAGTTAGGTGGGCCAACAAGCCAGGAGCGTAGATGCCCTGATAGCACGTGAAGAATGAGGAATGAAGAAGAGAGGAGTGCACTAGCAGCAGTTGGGATACATATAGGAAACCCTAATTGGGTTGTACTCGCTATAGAGTACCCCACTGCAGGCTAGACAATTATAACACTCTGACAATTGCTATATAACATGTCAGAACATATAGCTTTTGCATATTGTGTAGGCTATAGTGGGGTAGCCCATAAGGGGTACAACCCAATTAGGGTTAGTACTTGTACTCAGTTCATTCATAGTTCATTCATTCTCGTTCTCATCTTCTCATGGTATCAGAGCAGGTTCCCCTGTGGGAACTGTGCCTAGGGCCCACCACTTCGAATTTTTTTTTCCTGCCCGAAGCGCGCTCCGCCCGAGTCGCGCTCTCACCTCGTCGAGCCGCCCTAGCGGCCCCAACGCCCTAGCGGCCCTCCCTACCTTAGCGGCCCCGTCGCCCGTTCGTGCGGCCTTGCCACCTACTAGCGTGGCCCCGCCACCCGCATTCTCGGCCCCGCCGCCCTATGTCACGACCCCGCCGACCTAATCTGCGGCCTCGCCGCCCTACTCTGCGGCCTCGCCGCCCTACTCCTGCGGCCCTGCCGCCCTACTTCACGGGACCTGCCGCCCTGTTCAGCGGCCCCGCCGCCCCACTTCGCGGCCCCGCCGCCCTACTTCAGCGGCTCCGCCGCCCGTCTACTGCGGCCCCGCCGCCCCACTTTGCGGCCCCGCCGCCCCAGTTCGCGGCCCCGCCGCCCTACTTCAACGGCCCCGCCGCCCGTCTGCTGCGGCCCCGCCGCCCCACTTCGCGGCCCCGCCGCCCTACTTCAGCGGGCCCCGCCGCCCTACTTCAGCGGCCATGCCGCCCTACGTCAGTGGCCTCGCCGCCCGTCTGCTGCGGCCCCGCCGCCCTACACCTGCGGCCCCGCCGCCCTACTTCAAGGGCCCCGCCGCCCTACTTCACCGGCCCCGCCACCCTACGTCAACGGCCCCGCCGGCCGTCTGCTGCGGCCCCGCCGCTCTCCCTCCTGCGGCGCCGCCCAAGCCGCTGACCGCCGCACCGCCCTGCAGCAGCGCGCCCGAGCCGCCAACCGCCGCGCCGCCCTGTACCAGAGGAGCCGAGCCGCCCTGCCGCCGAGCCGCCCGGCCGCCCACCAGCCGAGCCGCCGTGCAGCCGAGCCGCCCAGCAGCTGAGCCGCCGAGCCGCCGAGCCGCCCAGCAGCCGAGCCGCCCAGCCGCCGAGCCGCTCTACAATCGAGCCGCCCGAGCTGCCCTGTCCGGTGAGCACAGCCCCTCTGTCACTGCGTGCCCTTCCCCTACTGCTTGCACTGCTAGTCTACCGTCGTCATGGCTACCCCTAGTGTCCTCGCTTTTGACGCTGAGGGTCGAGCCATTGACTTTGAGGTCTGGGTCGACGACCTGCAGCTGTTCTTACAGTGCGATAGGGCGGACGGTCTTTCTCTCTTTGACCTCACCTCTGGCGCCTCTCCTGCCCCTGCTGCTGATGTTGACCCCACTACTCGCTCTCAGTGGGCCACCCGCGATGCTGCTGCACGTCTTGCTGTGCGTCGCCACCTGCCTACCACTGAGCGTGCGCACTTTAGTCAGTACAAGAGTGCTCAGACCTTGTACGACGCTGTAGTTGCGCGCTACTCTTCCCCTGCCACTGCTGCACTGAGCCGCCTCATGCTACCGTACCTCTTTCTTGACCTTGCTGCCTTTCCCACAGTCGCTGACCTCATTACGCACCTCCGCACTAGTGACACTTGCTACCGCGCCGCGCTGCCTGCTGAGTTCTGCGCCAAGAACCCCCCCCCCATGTACATCACTCTCTATTACGTAGTCACCCGCCTCCCTGACTCCCTTCGCGTAGTCAGGGACCACTTTCTCTCAGTCTGTCCCACCACTCTCACTGTTGACCTCCTAGAGAAGGCCCTCTTAGCAGCGGAGAAGAGCATAGTCGCTGTAGGAGCCTCTTGTGGTGACCCTCGCACCCCCATCTTTGAGGGGTGTCCCCCTTCCCCCCTGTTGCCCTCTGTCGCCTCTGCTGCTGCGGCCGACCTACTTGGTTTTGAGTCGGTCGGTGCGGCGTCTGCCCCTAGCGGGAGACGCCGCCCTGGCAAGGGCAAAGGGGGCAAGGGCGCGGGTGGAGCTAGCGGGGGTGGTGGAGGTGGCGGTGGAGGCGGCGGAGGGAGTGGGGGTGGCGGTGGGAGTGGTGGCGGGAGTGGTGGTGGTGGTGGCGGCAGCGGAGGCGGAGGCGGCGGCGGCGGTAGCGGTGGGAGCGGAGGTGGCGGTGGTGGCGGCGGTGTAGGCGGCGGTGGCGGAGAAGGTGGAGCTGGTCGGGGTGGTGCCTCGCAGCGGAGCGGCTCTGGTGGTGGTCAGCGCCAGCAGCAGCAGCATCAGCAGCGTTCTCGGGACATCCCCCCCCCTCAGCAGCTCCGTGAGTGGTACACGCAGCGTCACCGTGGTGGGGGTTTTGGTCCGTGCACCTACGTCCTTCGCTCCGGCGACCGCGCGGGTGAGCAGTGTGGGGGTGCCCACCCCACCCAGCGCTGCTTTGGCCGCCTGACGGACGCTTGGCGTAAGCAGTTCCCCAAGGCTAGTGAGATCCCCCGCTAGGGAGAGCTGTCTAGGGCAGGCGTAGCTATCTATGATCTTGACTTTGATGCTATCCTTGCTGCCATGTATGCTGTGACTATTAGTGATGAGGGTGAGTGTTACCGGTGTTTCCTGCCTGACCCGGGCATAGGTACTACTGCGCTAGGTGCATGTGA